GCTGTGGGTGGGGGGGCTTTTGCTCAGGTGGCTCTGCACTGTTGGCCCGGGGGTGTCTGGGCGTGTTCGGCCCTCCCTTGCATGGGGTGCTCTCATTGTGGGTGTTGCTGTGGTGGACTGGTCAGTCCTTTTCTGGGGGTTGGGGGTGCACCCTCAGTCATTGCGGTGCTCTGTCTGCGGCTGTTCGGGTACTCCTGGCTGATTGTCGCTGCTGGAGTTTGGTGGCTTCTTTGATTGGGGGGCTGGGTGTTGAGCTAGGGATCGGGTTGGGGGTCTGGATGATCTCGGGGGGGGGGGGGTCGCTGGCCCAGGTTCTTGTCGGTCCACGGGGCTATGTGCCGGTCCGTGACCTGGGTCCCTGGTGGTGCGGCTGCCTCCTGCTCTTGGATGGATGCACTGGAGCCTCCCTCCCCTGGTGGATCTCGGAGAATAGGGGTGCCTATTGGGGTCAGTGGGGGAGCTGGTGGGCTGAGCTATTGGGCCATGGGGGGCGATTGGGGCTGGTGCTCTGGTTCTCCCTGGATTGTTTGGATCTTTTGATCGGAGTTCTTTGTTGCGATGGCCAGCCCTTTGGCTGGGGTAGCTGCCGGGTTCTGGCGGGGAGTCGGCTGTGAATGTGTGTGTGTGGTCATTGGTAGTGCGTGGCGGCGGTCGGGGGCATGGCTTCACTTCAACGGGGTGCTGGCTGGTCGACCTGATGTGACATTCACAGTGGGGGGTGCTGTGTGTGTGTGGGGGGGGGGGTGCATGGGTGGCATGCCAGGGCCTCTCCGGGCTTGTGGTGTGGGGCTTTCATTGGTGTGCTGGGCCGGCCTTCCTCGGCTGCTGCTCCCTGCTGCTCTGGCCCCTGGCCTGGGGCCGGCTTGCGGTCACTGTTGGGTGGGTGGGGTGCATGGAAGGCCCGACAGAGGCTCTGTCGGGCAGTCTCTGTGTGCCTGTTTGTCTCAGGTTGGGTTTTAGGTGGTCCCCTCTCTTGGATCAGTTTTGGCCCCCCATTCGTGCTCTCCTCCGGTCGGTGGTGGGCCCCCCTGCCGCCGTTGCATTGGTGGCTCTCAGCAGCTGGGGCTGGGTGGTGAGGTGTGTGCGGGCCCGCCCTGGTGGCTGCCTGCGGGGGCCTGGGTGCCCTGGCTCTGTTGGGGGGTGGTATGACCTTGGGGCTTGGTGTCCATGGCCGGATCTACTCTGGAGGGGCGGGTTGCCAGCGGGGCCTGTTGACTCGTTGCAACAGCCTCCTGGGGTTTCTGCATTGTGGTTGCTGGGGATCGCCCGGGGCTTCCCTTTGCTTCTCTCTCTGGGGGGTGCGGGTGTCCCTGTTGGAGGACTCCCAGAGTTCTGGGCTTAGGGACCGCTGTGTGTCTGTGGTTCCGGTCTTCCCTGTGTTACCTTCTTGTCCTGTGGGGACGGGTTTATGGGTCCCCACATCCACTATTGAACATTTTTATGGAGAAACCTTATAGTGATAAGCATGCTCACACAGGTGTTTAGATTCAGGTGTTCATCAGATACACACTCATTTGGGTTGTGGTGGCCATCAAATATATATTGTATTACCATGTACTGTGTAAAATACTTTCTAATTATGTTATAAGTATCATTATATAAGTTGTTTGTTGTTGTGGTTTCTCGGTTTTGTCGTTTTTCTTTTTTTTTCCCCGCAGGTCTAGAGGCAGACTTCAATGATGTTGATTTGTGTTCTCTGTATCCCTCTCTCTCCTCTATTCCTATCTCCTTCTTTACATTTTAACTCTTCTCTCAGTTTTCTGCTTTGTTATTATCTTTGTTTTCCGTCCCCGTGTCCATTATATCTGGAACAAACCCAAAGCATATTCTAATAAAATTTAATTTATATATCAAGTGGAGCATTAAGGCCAGCCATAATGCTCTGCTTGTGAAAGTAAATCTGTTGGGCATCACTTTGACACTCAGACAATAATTCTAAGTGTCACAATGCCGGACAGGACAAGGGAAAAAAAAAAAAGAGGTGTGGTCATGCGACAGTTCGAAGAAAACTCTACTGGGTTTTTGGGTGCCTTTTTTGATAACTCCTTGAAAGAAGTTGATGACCTCGGGTTTCTGTTTATTAAAGCCTCCTTAGGTCTGTAGTTGGAAACAGACTGGCCAGTAGTGCATTCCCAAGGAACATTTTTCTTGTGCTCGAGGCTGTGCTCCTGATACGGCAGAATCCTTAAAATAAACACCTGTATTTGCTACGATTCCTAGAAAGAATCTAGAAAAAGAATACTTGCAGATGACCATATGGAGCTGTTATGGTTAAAGACAGGGATTGATAGCTTTTAGAATAAGGCAGGGATGGAAATGTGTTTTTATAAGTTGAGGGACAAATAAGAACCTTAGTTTGGCTGGTATAGGGAAATATAACATTGTAAATGCCATGTATATTTGTTACATGTTTGATGTTGGAGGGTAAGTGAGTGTCTGCTGTATGAATGATAGTGTATGTTTATTAATGTATAACTCATATGGGTTACTTTACAGATGTACAAGAGAATTGATAACTTTAGCAGCCATCTAGTACAAGGTCACTTAATGACAAGAAATGTACACAACTTAAAAAAACCAAAGGCGGGGAAAAACATTGTCACACATCAGGCATAAAATTGCTAAGTGACGTTTTATATTAACATCATTTTATTTAAACAACTTTTCAAGACCAACAGGTACAGTTCAAACTGGCAGCCCAGACAGAAAACAGAAATCTCTGTACTCAAGTTGATGTGAGTAGATGAACACACAAAGACCTTCTCTCTGAAGATACTGCGACAGGTCAAAGATGTTTTTCACTTACTACAGTAACGTGTGTGGATCATGGTGTCATTGTGTCTGGAGCAGACTAACTGGAGCCTTGTTGCCTAGATAAACAGGACGACTACCAGGGTCGTCTGACCTTGTTTTTTTTTTTTTTTTTTCATTTTATTGCAAGATTTTGAATTATTACAGGTGAAATTAAATTAAATCAATGAGGGAACTCAAACACATCTGTGAAATTAAACCAACCAGGGTAAAAGTATTTGGGGAATATTGTGATAAATGTATTAGTAGATTAGAAACAGCTATAATGACATATTTCTATAAAAGTTAAGTGTCCTTGGCAGAAAACACTCTTTAATTAATTAATTGTGTTTTGTTACTGACATACATGTGTAATGATCAGTGCTGTGAAATTTAAATAACCTTCCTTTGGATGCGAGTTCAGGTGATTCACCTGGGGTAAAATGGTGAGGTGTTTCTTATTTTTAGTAAATAAAATTGTTGGGTCTGTTGGGATTGATGACAGCTCTCATCTGGACTCAGGGGAGGAGAAGAGTAGACAATAATAATAATAATAATAATAATAATGTCATCACAATGTCAGCACTGTATGTTTCCATACAATGGCGAAATTAGTCTCTGCATTTAACCCATCCACCACCAGGTGGTGCAGTGGGCAGCTATTGAAAGCGCCCGGGGGACATTTTGGGGATGAGACGTGTTGCCCAGAGACGCCACGTGATGTGCAGTGACTGGAGATCGAACCTGGGACTTTCGGGTCCCAAGCCGGCTGCCCTGCCTCTACAATATAATATTTAAACATTTAAATTATTCATTAATATTTACATAAATAAATAACATGTATACTATTCAGGTTAAGCAACACTGATTCATGCGAGGGTTGGTAATGGAGCTGTGTATGTTTGGGTTTTTAATTTCAGGTAATAAAACTATTAATCATTTTATTCCTCCCACAGACAAAACACATGTATGTTAGGCTTTGAGGCACAAGGCCTCCTTAGCAAAGTTAGGCCTCCTTTGCTGGCTATGCCTGGTGACCTAAAAGGTATTTGCCTGGTTAAATAGAAGTCACGTTCAAACACACGCATGTGCACACACTTTTATATGCACACACAGAGTGCTTAATATTTTACAGAGATGGAAAGACATCTTCTTTTCAGACAAACACTATATGTCAAAATGTACCCCAGTGAAGGTTCACCTTCAAGTAATTGACAGATAAATGGATCCACCTTTAAATTATGGACAGTTTTAAATGGTAATACAAGTCGACATTAACTATGAGATTTAACAGAATGTTTTGAAGGAGTCATGATGAGAGCTGAGATTATCTCACAGCGAGTGCCCTTTAGTTTTAAGATATGGTCTTAGTGTTAAATTAAAGAAATGCAGATTAAAATTGGTAATTTTATGTTTTCAAAAGAGAAATTTTCACTTCACCGGTGCCTGTCCCTTAAAAAAAAATACTAGTTATACAAAGATTATCTTTGAGGATTATTTAATTGATGTGGTTTGTATATCTTGAACAACATTAACCCTTCACAGGTCTCTGGAGCAGTGCTGAACTGAAACAACTACTGTGAATACTTTTTAGAAATGTTTAATTATAAAGTGCTGCAGCATGGATGGATGGCTATATACCCCCCCCACCCCCACCCCTCCCACCCCATTTTTCTCTACAGGAGATACCCGAAAGAGAATTGTGGACATAAACTGGGCAGATGGAACAACCAGTGAGGTATCAGAGTGTAATGGAGGACCGAAAGCCAGTAAATATTTATAATCAGGAATGACACAATTCATGATTTTAAGTAAAGACTATTGATTTGTCTATAATGTAGATAAGCTAAATTTTAGATGTTGTTTTGGATGATAAATTAGGCTGGAATATTGTATATAATATAAGGAGCAAGAACTTTGCTAAATATTTGACTTCCAAATCACTTAAAATATTGAGTGACAGAATTACAGGCAACTAACTGATAAAACTTAATTGATGTTTCCTTGATTTATTGATAATGTGAGTTGCCACTTCTGAGGGAGATTCGAGCCCGGGGGAAAGACATGGGCTGGAGGGGTGTTCCGGGTCCAGTGGTCCGCAGCCAGCTACTGTCTTTAACAAGGTACAGCATTTTACTCAAGGATAGAACAAGATTCCTGGTCAGAATAAATTTAGAACAGCTAGGTGTATAGTCATGCAGACACAATACCTTAGAACACATGTGTAGAATCCATTATCTTCCAATTCAGCAGATCTGAACCAGATGGAGTCGTCTTCTTTACTCAGTCTATGACCTGAGAAGACGATGGGTTCCTGAAAGTCAATTTGAAAGGGATTTTAAAAAATATACGGTAAAGTTAAAAAAATGAACAATGCAAATTTGAAGTAATTGTCATACGGTCATAACTACCATACCAATTTATCCACAGATCACTTTCATGAACATTACACCTATAACTACATTTTAAAGCAGTCCTCCTGTATTACTGTTTAGATTTACAATCTGGACTGTTTCCACAGAAATAGACAAGAAAATTCCAGCAAATGTATGTTTTATTAGAGCTTCTACTTTCTGTGTATTAACATTTGGGGACGTGACTCAAACAATGTATGTTTGAAATATCCTGATGCATGCTCAATAATCCAGGTAGAAAAATCTAAAAAGTTAAATCTGGTCCTCTGGACATTCAAAAAACCAAAACAAAGCAAAACAACAAAAAAATGTAGAAATGTTTCGTCTTCAACATCAGGCCAGGACTCTGCGGTCTACACTCATCTCCAGGCCAGCGGTCACTCTTTCAGGGATGAAGATGTGCACATCCTGGACAGAGGGGAACGATGGTTTGAGAGAGGAGTAAAGGAGGCCATCTTTGTGAAAAGAAACCGTCCATCATTAAACAGGGGTGGAGCCTCCATGTTCAACTGTCCCCCTCTTACAATGCTGTGATTGCTAGTATCACTCAGCCCTCTGTGAACAGTAAACAGCCATCAGTGTGCTAATGATCCATTGTTAGGCTGATGGTCCTTCTTGATCATGTGATCATCTGGTTTTGGTTGTCAGCAGCAAACTGGTTGATCCACTCTGAGAAGGTGCTATTTAAGAGACTGAGCTGAATACAGCTCCTCAGACTGAGGAAGTCTCTCGGATGAGAGACGAAATGGTTTCTACATTTTTTTGTTGTTGTTTTGCTTTGTTTTGTTTTTTTGAATGTCCAGAGGACCAGATTGAACTTTTTTAGAATGTTTTTTTTTTTTTTCAACTAGACCTGTGTGTTGATCCTCTTCAGAATAATCAACCATCCATCCATCCATTATCTTTTACCCGCTTCTTCCATTTTGGGTCACGGGGGTCGCCGGTGCCCATGTCCGGCAATCATTGTGCGAGGGGCGGGGGACACCCTGGACAGGTCGCAAGTCCATCACAGGGACATATAGAGACAAACGAGACAAACAGCCATTCACTCTCTCACTCACACCTAGGGACAATTTAGAGCCACCAATCAGCCTAACGCATGTTTTTGATCTGTGGGAGGAAACCGGCGTGCCTGGATAAAACCCCACACAAATATGAGAAGAACATGCAAACTATACCCCCAGGTCTAAACTGGGAATAGAACCCAGGACTTTCTTGCTGTGAGGCAACAGTGATAATCACTAAGCTGTTGTGCTGTCAGACTTGTCCAATGCAAGAAAAATGTCTCTTTGATAAATGGTAGAGATGGGATATATGGTCTTTGAAGGGAATCAGAGTTTGAACATCCATTCTTTTCAAAGAGCTGTTCAGTTTTGAATGGTAGTGACATATGATGTCAGGGCTGTACCACATCTTGTCAAGCAGGAACACCCACCCTCCTGAATCGTTGCACTCCTTACAACTTGTGGCCATGTCACTTGCTTGCTTGACAAGTCACATGATTTGGCTGTACATCATTTTGTATATCACTGACCATACCACAAGACCAACCATTCAAAATTGAATGACTCTTTAAAAGGAACTGGACCATAAGATGCTGCTCCCTTCAAGGAGCTGTGAATCTTGTCTCTAGAATAATGCATACTAACTGAGATTCTGAGGGTTTTGCTCACATTGCACAACCAGAAAGATGCAGGATTGCAACATTCTCTTGCTAAATAGATTTTTAATCTCAATGGGATCTTCCTGGTGAAATAATGGTTAAATAAAAATAAAATAAACATAAAATGAAGAGAGTTTAGGCCTTGCTCAGTGCTAAAGAAAAAAAAAATATCACATTGCAAAATATTTGCTTTGTTGTGCTCTTAGCAGAACATGCATACACTGTTGTGGTAAGTGTTGCTATGTGTTCAATAAAGATGTCTTTCATGATACACCCCACACACAATGTTCTAATTAACTTCAGCCTTTGATGATAATTTTTTCCCTTTAAATAACAACAGTTATATAGCGTGCCCTAAAAGAGGGGTGCACACCTCCTAATTCTGTTTTACACATAATACATGTATAGTTTATCTATATGAGGATCTGCTACACCTGGCATATACTAAAAATTGTATTTTTGTTAGTGTAGAAAAACTACTTGCTAAACATTTTATAATTATATGTGCAAACTTTTAATTCTGTCTGAAATTTTAGTCAACTATACTTGTAGATTCCTTATGGTACATCCCATTAATGGAGATACTGTTGGAATTTATTGGAAGCCAATTTCATTTGGCAGAAAATTTATTGCTTTGCCTGAATGCAAAAACATTTACCAAGGGTGTTCTTCCCTTTACCAAGACTTACAAATTTAATTCAAGATTTTATTTTTCTAGAATGATGCGAATTTCACTGGGCTTCAGACTTTTAAAACAAAGCAACAGAACAAAGTCCTGAAGTAAATACATCCAAGTTAAATGAAGAAGTAACTGAATCTAAAAGCTCCATGTGCAGCCCTATCTGTTTCACATATAAAGCATGTTTTTAACATTATGTGTCAACAACTAAAATATTAATGGCCCCTTCAGTAGACAAACGAATTTCACTCCTCACACTCTACATGATCCAATTAGAACATGGCTGAATGATGGGAGATCTTGAAAAATCCCTCAGTGGATTCCAGTCATTTACAAAACTCAGCCGGTTCTTTGACATGTTGCCCATTCTTGAAAGCAAATACGTATTTCAATCTCCTTCTTCTCCTACTGTTCCATTTTTTTTTAACTATAAACCAGTCATACCTCTGCATCTCCTTTGTTCTTGTACCAGATGAGGCGCAGCTTGACATTAGTGGCCATGGTATAGTTGGTTCGTATGTAGCTGTAGAACAAGGCACATTTGACCCGAACAGGCTCACCAGCCAGCACATGGTACACCTTCAAGTCCACCGACCAGTCTATGCAACCATCCACTGAAAGAATGAAAAATCTCAATGAGGCTTTTATTATTTATTTATTTGGCAATACAGTAGTCCCTCTCTACTTCACGATTCGATTTTTGCAGACTTGCTCTTTCGCGATTTTTCAAAGTAAGATTGGACATGACACACAATTGGCCGATTAATGGATGAACCACACGAGCGGCGTGGATTATTATTTTTTTAAATAAATTATTTTAAATGACATAGAACCTGCTAAATCATTGGGTGCAGGGAGAAACTCCCTCTGTCATGATCTCCGTTCTCTGCCACCTACCAGCGCTCTCTGCAATGCACACATTTCTGCTCCATGCTGAAGCGGCTTTGTGAAGGGTTAACCCTTTGCTGTCCAGCTGCACCAATCGACATTTGTCTTCCAACTTATAATTCAAAGTATGTCACATCATAAAATCATCATAATCACAAAATGTGTATTAAAAGTTATATTTGATTATTTTAGAACTTCTATGTTCAGTTGTTACAGTGTAATTGATCAAAAACTACATTTCTGCTCTGTGCAGCATTGGCTGCGTGAAGGGTTAACCTTTGCTGTCCTGCTGCACTTCTCTTCTCTACAATTTAAATTGTGTAGTATTTTAAATAAACAATCCATGCTGCACGGGTTGTTTATTTAAAATATTACAGTATTTAAATTGTTTATTTACAGAGAAGGAGGGAGATTGGGAATGAAACTGGTGATGAATGTGATTGCAGTGTGGCAAAGAGCAGAGATCCTGACATGATGTGCTCTTTTAGCACATTTAGAGTTTAGAAACCTTGTTTAGAATATTGCAAGAGTGTGGGCAAGGTTTTATAAAGCCATATACACACACACACACACACACACACACACACACACACACATATATATATATATATATATATATATATATATATATATATATCAGAGTCAGAGTTTCTTTATTGTCATTCGCACCACATGTGGTACATGTGGTGGAGCGAAATTATGCACACAGGGTCTCAGTTACATCCAACAATAAAATGTATAAGAAAAACAGTAATAAGCTCTAAGATATGAACTAAAAAAAAACATCAACTAAAACTAGAGACTTTTCTTTTCCTGCGAAAATGCACATGTGAATACCATTGAAGGCCCTTGCAGCAAAGCACCGCTCTGGCCATACCGCGATCGCAGGAGCTCCAGCCACTCCACCCAGTCACCATCACGAATGCTCTCATGCCAATCCCGCACACGTTCACTACGAGGCGCATTTCCTGAATTTTGACATTGCCTTCCGTCCATTTCAGTACTTGTCCAGCTCCAGGTCTTACAAGTATACGTGAAATCTGACCTTCCAGACATGAGTTATTGTGACTCCCTGTTTTATTGCGAATGTTTGACGAGCACTTCATATTTGCTTTTCCACATGTCGTGTGGTAATCAACAGTTACAGTTTTATATCTTACACTGGGCCAAGCTGGAAGAGTCACCCAATAACTGTCAGTTTATTCTCTGAGTGGGTGGGCCTTAAGTGATGTCATGAGTCAACAATACCAATGTATCTTTAAGTGCTCACTGATTAAACACCAAAATTTCGGTTCAGATCGGATGATGTATCACTGTGTTATAACTGTTGGAATAATGTAGGGGGCGCTGTGGAGGCTATTGGCCACTTATCATGTATTCCTGTTTAAGGGGTGGATAATGATCGATCATACTGATTTTGGTACACGTCGGCTCAAACCTGTGGAATTTAGAAACAAACATATGGCGACGGCGTTACATTTTACTTCGCCACGCCACGCCGCCCACATGCTCCACCCAAAACTGTCAGTGTTGGAAAGCAAGTTACACCAACATGTCTTCGATCACTGGACACACTATCATGCTGATTAGGTAACGAAGTCAGCTTGGGGCTTTCAACGTAAAACTTTACACTTCCTGTTGTCAGGGAGCGTGGCTCAAATGATGTCATGATTTGACTATTTACTCTTGCAGGGGACCGGATGTGGATCAATCACTGAAGGTTTGATGTCTCCGACATTTTTTGTGTAAGAGCTATTAGCGTTTCGTTTTTCATGGCGAGATATCACACTTGGAGGTCTGGCCCACCCCTTCAGCATGCTCCAAAACACACCATTTAGATAACTTTTCGTCCCCCATGCCTTTTGTCCAAAATGGCCAAGTTTGAAACCGATTGAGCAAAAAATGCAGAGGCTGTAAACCGCCAAAAGGTGTGAAACTTAGGACAGGATTCCAAAATGGCCACCTTCCTGTTTATCGTATAACATTGGTGCCAGAAGGTTTCCTGTGCATCTTGGGGAATTGGACAAATGTACCAAATTTCATGCTTCTAAGGTTAATGTAGGGTATTTTGAAAACTGGCAGATGGCACCCTTGGCCTGTTTATAGATAGCTTCATTAATTTTCAATGAAAGTCAAAATGGCAGAAAAGGTTAAATATCTCCAAAAGCTAAAGTTGCATCAATAATCAAAGTCATAGCCATATAAACAGGAAAACAATAGTGTGAATGCCTTGTAGGCATTCACACAAATACACTAAGCACTAATAGCATAAAAACATTACGTCGAACAGCATCATGAAAATGAGCATGAGTCTGTGTGAGCAGATGAGCAAGCATGAACACCACAACATGAAACAGATCAGCAGCAACATGAAACAGATCAGCAGCAACATTGAAACAGATCAGTAGCAACATGATGTGATTTTTCACAGTGATTATTCTGATTAGATATTCATGAGTCTAACAACTAGGGGTTGAACGAGTATATAATTTTTAAACTCGACATTAACATAATAAAACCTGAGTAGAACTCGAGTATTTGATGATGTCATAGATCTCAAGATACAAAAATAAATAAATAAATAAAACTGCAATAAAAGGTAATTATTTACAAAAAAAAATCAACAAAACATTGGGAGAGTATATTATGCTCCTACCATTTATCATACTGCAAATAAGTCACAGGAAAAACTAAACTATTAGTTATTGTTATTAAACTGCAAACTAAGCACGTCAGAAACGAAACTTAAAACAGTGGATGGGCGGTGGATTGGACCCGGTGTTACACCATACTCTGTGACCTGCAACAGTGCAACACCGCCCCCTATGGTCATACGGTGGTCACATAATATGACGTCACTACGGTTACTCGACATTACATTTTTAATCTCGATAGAGGTCCTAGCAATCGATGTGTAGATTACTCGAGTACTCTGTTAATGCCCTACTAACAACCTCAGGGTAGAAGCTGTTCCTCAGTCTAGTGATTCTACACTTAATGCTCCTCAACCTCCTTCCTGAGGGGAGTGGGGCAAAAAGTGTGTGTGCTGGGTGAGTGGGGTCCTTCACGATGCAGGTGGCTCTCTTCCTGCATCTGGAGGTGTAGATGTCTGATGGTGGGGAGGCTGATTCCAACATCTTCTGTGCAGCCTTCACCACTCTCTGCAAAGATTTTTTTTTCTGCAGCTGTGCAGCCTCCATGCCACATGTTGATGCTGGAGCACAGGATGCTCTCCACTGCACATCTGTAGAAGGAGGTGAGGACTGAGCTTCCCAGACCAGCTTGTCTCAGCCGCCTGAGGAAGTAGTGTCTGATGAGCTTTCTTGATCAGGCTGGTGGTGTTGTTGCTCCAGCTGAGGTTGTCATTCATGTGCACACCCAAGTACTTGTAGCTGGAGACCACTTCCACCACAGATCCTCTTATGTTCAAGGGGGTGTAAGTGTGTTTGTTCCTTCTGAAGTCCACAATCATCTCCTTTGTCTTCTTCACATTGATGTGAAGGTTATTCTCTTTGCACCAGCTCTCCAGGTGTTCCACCTCTTGCCTGTAGCTGGACTCATCGTTGTTTGTGATGCATCCCACAACTGCTGTATCATCTGCAAACTTTACAATGTGACAGCCTGGATGGGTAGCTGCACAATCATATGTGAGCAGAGGAAACAGGAGGGAGATCAACACACATCCCTGAGGAGAGCCAGTGCTGAGGGTTATGGTGGAGGAGGAGAGGTTGTGGATCCTCACTAACTGTGGTCAGTTTGTTAAGAAGTTTAGTACCCAGTTGCAAATGGAGGGGCTTAGTCCTAGTGTGAATAGTTTGTCCATCAGGGCTTGGGGGGTCATGTTATTGAAGGTGGATGTTAAGTCCACAAAGAGCATACGGACGTAAGAGTATTTCTGCTCCAGGTGGTTGAGCGCACTGTGGACCACAGAGGAGATGGCATCCTTTGTTGATCGGTTCTTATGGTATGCATACTGATGAGGGTCCTCGTTGATGTTGATGGTTGTTTTGATGCGAGTCATGACCAGTTTTTCAAAGCATTTAAATGGTAAATGGACTGTACTTATATAGTGCCTTTCTATCTTAATTCAAGATACACAAAGCGCTTTACACTAAAATCTGTGTCCTTATTTACCCATTCATACAGCACTCTACTAGATCTCTCCACAATTAATTGCACAAATCATTCTAAAGAGACTAATCAGAGCTTTATCACATTCATACACCGATGGGACACACATCGGAGGCTTTGAGGGGTTCAGTGTCTTGCCCAGGGACACTTGGACATGTGACTGCTGGTGGATTTGAATCCCCAACTCTCGCATTGGAGGACGACTGCTCTAACAACTCAGCCACAGCCGCCAATTTAGCGACTATCGGGATGAGGGCCACTGGCCGATAGTCATTCAGACCAGTCACTGTAGAGCTTTTTGGGAATGGAACAATGGTGGAAGTTTTCAGGCAGGTGGGAACTGTCTCTAGGGTAAGTGAGGTGTTAAAGATGTCTGCCAGCCCCTCACAGAGCTGATCAGCACATTCTTTCAACACTTTTCCGGCGATGTTGTCTGGGCCGGTTTCTTTGTGCGGATTAATCCTCTTGAAAGTACTCCTTACTTGGGCTAAGGTCACACTGAGATGCTCTAATATATATATATATATATATATATATATATATAGTGGATATATATATATATATATATATATATATATATATATATATATATATA